ATATATATATATATATATAGCTATTCAAGCTATTTCTTCCTGAGAGAGTTTTGGTAGCTTGTATCTTCAAAGGAATGTGTCCATTTCATCTAAGTATTAGATGAATTTGTATTTATCTTGTATTTATTGTCATAAATTTTTCTTAATATTTGATGATTTTCCTTTTAATGTCTGTGAGATCTGTAGTTATGCCCCTTCTCTCATTCCTGATGTTGGTAATTTGTTCTCTCTCTTTCCCCTGCCCCCCATCAATCTGCTTAGGAGGTTATCACTTTTATTGGTATTTTAAAGGAAACATTTAATTTTGTTGTTTTTCTCCGTTATTTTCCTGTTTTACCTTTCATTGACTTCTGTTCTTGTCTTTATTATTTACTTCCTAATGCTTACTTTAGGTTTTATTTTTATTTTTCTAGTTTCTTAAGGTGGAAGCTTCAGTCACTGATTTGAAGTCTTTCAATTTTTTTTTTTAATACAAGGTTTACAGTGCTAAGAATTATCCTTTATGCCCTGCTTTGGCTTCAAAAAAAGAAGACATTTTAATATGCTGTGTTACAATATTTTTTTATTTCCCTTGTGATTTATTCTTTGGCTAATGGGTTATTTAGAAGTGAGTTGTTTAGTTTCCAAATATTTGGTCATTTTCATATATTTTTCTGTAGTTGATGTCTACTTTAATTCCACTTTGTTCAGAGAACATCTTCTGGATGCTTTTAATCCATTTTAGTTCTTCACCCTGCGCAAGAAGTGAACTAGCCAACAATCTCAGTGCCTGGGCAGGAGCCACTAAGGAATTCATCATCGTATTCAGAGAAGCAAAACCCCATAGGGAAAAGGTGTTGGCCTCAGCCTGTCTTGAGGCGAGGGCATCAAGCAACCAGGAGATGCTATAATTTAACAGAAAAATCTCTGGGCATTTTTCTGCCCTTGCTCCAAATAGAGCAAAAAGTTTTCCTTAAAGGAGGTGAGCGACTAAGTCAACTTTTCCCATAGCGCTTGATAAATCAAGTTTAGCCCAGAGTGTGACATTCATCTAGAATCTCTGAACTAAATATGCCAGTCATTTTCTCTCCATGCCACCTCCTTGTTAGCAAACCTGCCCATCTACAGCCTGGAAGGCGTGTCTCTGCTTATCATGTGTCTCTATCTCTGTAATAATCTGGTTGTGCTGATGTAGACACCCGGCCCTAACTGAGCTAATAAATGGCTCTTTGCAGGGAGTACGGAATGGGATGACAGAGATACAGTCATTAGTCTTGGGGGAGCTGAGCTGCCAGGTTCCATTAGTGGTGGTGGTAGTGGTGTGACCACCATTTCAGGGCATTCATGATGGGCCATGCAAAAGTGGGTGAATGAGCACAGAAACGACTCCGGGAGAGAGGAAGATGGAGAAAATAACATGGAAGATTTAAAAAAACCTTTTTAAAATGTTTATTTATTTTTGAGAGAGGGACAGACAGAGCGTGAGCAGGGGAGGAGCAAAGAGAGAGGGAGACACAGAATCTGAAGCAGGCTCCAGGCTCTGAGCTGTTAGCATAGAGCCCTACACGGGGCTCGAACTCACAAGCCTCATGAACTGTGAGATCATGACCTGAGCCAAAGTCGGACACTCAACCAACTGAGCCACCCAGGTGCCTCTGGAAGATTTGAAAGACATGCACTGTGGGGTGGAAAAATGGTAGAGAGAAAAAGAACATCTCAACTTCCCATTTCCTATAAAGCCCATTGTAAGTTTTTCTTTTTTTTTTTTTTTTATAATTCTGTTCCGTGGTATTTCCCTGGCTCCTTAAAATAAATTCCATTTTATTCAAGTTAGCTTAAGTGAACATCTGTTCCTTGCAACCAAAATGCCCCTAAAACATCTCATTTACTCAGTTTACCTCTTTAATTCCAGTATGATGGCTAGAATAATTAGCTTGAACTACTGGCCTCTTCTCCAGAACCCCTATTGTCCTGGTCAGTTATCCCAAGAGTCCCCTCTAAGAGAAAGACCAGCTTCTATTGGGACTGGTATTTGGCTGATAATGATTCATGACGTCAATTAGAAAATGTGAGTGTAGCTGGTGTTGCTTAGTTTCTGGTCTTCTCACATCTGTTTGGTCTCACAACATGCAGGAACCACAGGCAGCTGGGCATGAGGGACTGGCCATGGCTTCCAGAACTGCAGCAATGTCTCCCTGCTCCCTGGTTGTAGCCCTGGAAGGCCGTTGATTTCCTCCAGGGTAATGCCTGAATCGTGCTTGAGGAGTCAGAGAATAGTCACCTAACATGAGGACAGAAATGTAGAAAATGTGCTCAGTGTCCCCTGAGCCAGATTTAACTTTAATGTTCTTCAGCCCAGATGGTTTCCATTAATTTGCACATATTTATTGAGCATCTACTGTGCATCAATTATCTCATCTCTCTTTCCCCTGTTTGCTCCTCTTCTGACTGCTATTTCTTAATTTACATTCCAAGAACCTTTTCTTCTCCACTACTCCCTTGGGTTACTGACTCATTTCTCTGTTTTATTGCTGAACTTTCTCAAAGAGCGATCTAGTTGCTATCTCTACTTCCTTAACCTTTTACTAACTCCTTACCTCTGTGCCATCTATCTTCGGCTTTCCCCATGATACAATTTGGGGCCCTTGAATTTCCCTGCATCGTTATATCAAATGCCTTTTTTCTTAAGTTAGTTGAAGTGACTTTCAGTTCCTTGTAACTAAACAATTTCTAAGACATTCTCGTTTCCTCGGTTCACCTCTCTGACCTCTACACAACAATCAGTATAGTCTCACTCAGGGTGTTTTCTCTTCAGGCATCCAAGGGGCTGGAGATTTCTCTGCCCAAGACCAAAAGGACCCAGGAAAACACAAATCTTGCCTTGCCGTAGCCACAACTCCCTTGATGTTCTTGAGGTGGCTGTGCACATACAGCAAATGGAAAACCATGAGCCCTCGTGTTATTGGTTGGGCTAGAGCTTGATACCTTACTGTGGGGATTTTTGGTAAAATCAATTGGAATATGCAGCTTAGGTTCAAGCCCACGGAGAATCTCTCTGCAGCCTATCTATCTTCAAGTTTGAGCAGGCAGTGGCTCAGTTACTGCTCCTGAAACAGGAAGCAGAAAAGAAGGTTAGTCAGAGGACTGAAATATGACAATGAGGTCAGCATTTAACTCATTCTGCATTGGGGCCTTGCAGGAGATAGGGAAAGAGGTAGGGATGGTAGTGGAGACCTCACTTCCCATAGAGTGATCAGAGTGAATTACTTATAAAAATTATTTTTTCCAAGGTGTAGAGACATAGATAGGTAATGTGGAGCAACATAATCCCTTAGCAAAATTTGATACTCGACATCTGTTAACCTTAGCCCATTTTTAGTATGCACACTGATATGTCTGACCCTTTATTTGCACTTCATCTAGTCTTGCCCCAATCAAAATAATTATTCTCAAAGTAATTTGGTGTATAATTATTATGCTATTCATTCACAAAACTGTTATATTGTCCATTCATTCAGCAAACATTTACTGAGCCAGGCAGTAGAGATAAAAAGTGAGTCTGTAAAGCAAGGTCCCTAGTCTAAGGAGCTCACAGTTTATGAGATGGAGGAGAGGATGGGGGAACAATAGATTTAGAGGCAGGTGAGTGCCATGGTGTGTTGTGAGTGAACTTTGAACAGTGTATAAGGAGAGAACATAGGAATGAGGCTCAGAGAAACTGGGTCCACTTCCTGGTCCCCCCTTTTCTGTGCACCTCTAGCCCAGATAAGACTCTTTTGGCTTTGTCAGTCAATCAGAGAAAGTAAGGCCCTTTTGGCTGGGCTTTCCAGGCTTGTTTGTTTGTGTGTTATGGTTAACAAACAGCCCCTGGTAACAGGTCATTAGTGCTGGAAGGGTCCAAGAAGATAGTTGGTCAATCTCTGAATTTTAGGAGTTGGAGGCCCAGAGAGAGAAAGGTTTTTGTCCAGTATGACCAGCCACACAGTATTACAGCAGTCTCAGAACAGAGCATTGATCAAATCCTGTATTGTCTGTATTGGAGGGACTCTTAAAAATGTTCTAGTTCAACCCCCTCAGCTTTAGGATGAGGAAATAGACCCACCCAAGGAACGACTGAATCAAAGTCACAGAGCCAGTCAAGGGCAGGGCTTAGATCTCCTTAGGTCTCCCAGCCCAGCCAGCCCTTCACTGATGCACCTGCCCAAGGCAGCCTTACACCCAGTTCAGGAGTCCCTAGCCGCTCTCTGGAAGACGTGCCCCAGGGTCTCCAGCTAAAGATAGGCTGTTCACAGGCCAAGTAGTGTCCCCTGCCATTTTGTTTTCAGACTTCTCTCTTGAGTCTTCTCTGTGTGTCGAGTCCCCTTGTCAAGAGCTCTAGAGTTCTTGTTCTTCTCTGTTCTCCAACTTGTAAGCTTTCCATAACTTCCTGCTTCTTTAGTCAGCTTCCTTCACCCCATGGCTATTTCCCTTCCACCCCACCCCACCATTTCTTGGACAGTCAGTCCCTGCCTTCCTGGTAGTTCCCTCTTCCCCAGACACGGCTCCTCCCAGGGACACTGAATTTGTCCTGTGATATGAAACCTCTGGCTATTTGGTCAAGCCGGTTCCTTTCTTACAATAACACTACTTTTTATTTTATTTTATTTTACTATTTTATTTATTTTTTAATTTTATTTTTGGCCATGATTCATATTTAATGGCTGTGCTTGTCCTGGTCCCTCATTTCTGCCACTCATAGGCCCACTGCTCTGGGGTCAGGGTTTTTTGCTCAAAGGCACGGACGTACAGGAGCTCTTCTGCTAGGCACCTGTTTACCAGCCCATGTCTCTGAAGCAGCAGCTTCCCCTTGAACTTGGCTGACACCACTAGAACTTGGAAGCTGGACGTGCAATGGTTGGGAGTAGTATCTTCCGCTTCCACAGACACTGCCTCCAGGTCCTGCTGCTGTTTTCTCTCAGAGGTCCTTGATGCTATCACATTGTGATAGCCCAGCCAGGATGGAGCCCCAGCTCTGACCCCATTGCTTTTAAACCTGTTGACTAAAATATATGGAACAAGAAAGGAAGTCCATTATTTTGAAAAACATTTATCAAAACGTAGAAAAACAAAAATCATGAAATTTGTGATATAAGGATATATGTGCTTTTTTTTTTTTGTCAATTATAAGATCTGGTGGTGAGTCCAATGACTTCCATGATGTTGAAATGGTGATGAGCACAACTGATATGGCAAGTTGTAATATCATATTACAACATCTGTGTTCTTTGTTATGGACAAATTCACAGGTATCACATATACTGCTGTAGTTTGTTACTACATTCATAATTGAATGCTAAATTTCAGTTAGAATTTAGTAAAAGTGAAGATATAATATTTTTCTCATACAGGTTCATGGATCTCCTGAGTATCATTCATAAACCCCTTGGCCATTGTAGACTTCAGGTCAAGAAATCCTGTCGTAGATGATCCCATGGCTTGAAATGCTATATATGTGTAGATATTGCCTAAATTTATATGACAATATACCTTTGGATATCTCCTAGATACCTATAAAACTCCACATATCAAAAAATGAATTTCTGATCTTATCCCCCAAACAGCTTCTCCTTGCTTTTTCTCATCTTAATAAATATCACCCCCATCCTCCTGGAGTTCATTCTCTACACCTTTTCACTTTTATGTCTAATTTATAATTCATTCCATCATAAATTTATTCACCAGATATTTAGTTAGCACTTACTATATGCCAAGCACTGTTATAGGCATTGGGATTCAGCAATGTACAAGACAAGTCCTTGCTCTCATGGATTTACAAGATATTGTTGCGAGGCATTGACAATAAATAAGAGAATATAGCATATGGCATATGACAAATTAGTTATCAACAAGATACTCTAAGGTATTATACCTCAATGCTTCTTTAGTCCTGCTACTTCTTTCCATACCCACTGACATCCCTTCAATCTGAACCACTTTAGACTCTTGTTTGCAATAGTCTTCTATGTGTAGTCTGCAGCCAGACTTGTTCTGGTTCAGTCTTTTCTCTGTGCGGCAGCCAAAGTGAGGAGAGGGTCATATCCTTCCACTGCTGACACCCTTCAGTGACTTTCCACCACACTTGGAATAAACCAGGGCTCCTCACTGGAGGGTCCTGTGTGATCAGGTCCTCAGCTACCCACTGTCTTCCTTTCCTACCAATTCCTCACCAGTTCTCTTTGATCCTCTTGGCCTTGCAGTTCATTGCAGGCATCAGTTTCCTACCTCAGGATCTTTGTCTCTCTTTAAGCCTGGCTGGTTCCTGATCCCTTTCGGATCTTAACTTAGTTCATCTTTATCCAAAATGCTACCTCCTTGGAGAGCCCTTTCCTAATCCCTGAATCTAAATTATGTCCGTCTCTCATTCTACCTTAGAGCAACTTCTTTTCCTTTATATAGCAAGCTACTAGTTACTATTTTATACAATATTCAAGTATCTATTTAATATGTTTCTCCCACTACACTGCAAGTTCCAAGATGGTAAGAATCTTGTCTATTTTTCTCACCAGCTGTGTAACAGTTCCCAGCATATTGTTAGTGCTTAACAAATGTGTAGCTGTTGAATGGGTTATGAGTTACTATACCTTCATCTCTGACATCTGCCCCCAAACTCATCACATATTCCAGGTTTGTACTTCCTCTTTTATGCACAGGCATATTAAAAGCTCTATCTATACTTAAATTATTCCCGACCTAATCAGATACAGTTATTCTCAAATTCATCTATCCATCCATCCATTCATTCACTTAACCATTATTTATTGAGCACCTTCTAATTGCAAGGCCCCATGCCAGGCAGTATATAAGATTGAAAGACAAATAAGACACGGTTTTTGTCCTCAAGACATTTGCAACCTAGAAGAGGATTTAAGAAGTTTCTCAGTAGTCATAGTGGGAAAACGGGTGTTCTGTGCCATGTCAGCATAGTGAGTGGTGACAGAAGTGCAAAAAAGGCAAATAATACTTCCAAGTAGAGAATTCAGGATAACTTTCATGGCGAAGGTGGCAAATGAGCTGGATCTTGAAGGATGGGCAGCGTTAGATGGCCAGAGGTAGTAGAGGAGGCATCCTAGATGAAGTAAACTTACTGCACATAGAGTAAAAAATGTGCAGAAATAGAAAAATACAGGCGTGTTTTGGGATCCATGAATGGCATACCTGTAGGGGAGCTATGGAAGGCAAGGATAGAGTGTCTGGCATTTTGTTCTTTATTTCATATGTCCTGGCGAGTCAGCAAAGATTGTTGGACAGAGGAATACAATAAGAGTTAGGAGGGAGCACTGGAAAGACCTAATTGCCTGTGTGATTTTAAGTGAGGTTGATTTTCCTTATTCAACTAAGAGATAAACAAAACATGGGGTCAGGATGTTTATCAGGGAAAAAAGGTATCTGTGTGGTTGGAGTGGATGGGGAAGTCCTTGTGAAATAAGGAGGACAACCCTTTGCCTTCTAGCTGGGACCCTGACTCATGGATGTTAAGGAGTCAAACTCAAAGTTACAAGGGCCACTCTTATCCTTAGACTGAGAGCCACTGGTGCCATAGCTGGGCTGTATTAGTCCACCTGAGCTGCCATAACAAAATACTACCAACTGGGTGGCTTCAACGACAGAAACTTACTTTCTCCCAGTTTTGGAGGCTGGGAAGTTCGAGATCAAGGTGCTGGCTGATTGCTTCCTGATGATCATCCTATGTCCTCACATAATCTTTCCTTGATGCATGGACATTGAGGGAGGGATCTCTCTCTCTCTCTTCCTCCTCTTATAATCCTATCAGATTAGGACCCCAATCTTTTGACCTCATCTAAGTTTAAATACCTCCTAAAAGCTCAATCTCCAAATATAGTCATAAGGGGGAATGGGGCTTTAAAATATGACTTTTGAGAGCACATAATCCAGCCCATAGTTTGGAGCAAATCAGCCTCCAGAGCCTTAAGAATCACAGACAATGCAGGCTTCTAATAACATCTTCTGGGGACCCCTCTCAAGGGACAAAATACAAATAGACCCTACCTGTTTTATATATCGGGCCTCCACATAGGCTTTCCTCTAAAGGGCAGGTTATGCTGCTAAAAATATTTTAGGAAACACTTGACCTAGTTTGATGACTTTTTTTTACCAGAGGAAGAGAAGATCCTGAGATTCAGAAAGATAAAGAGACTTGCTCACAGTCATACAACAAGATAGAGACAAAGTCTAGTAGCCAATGAACATGACTAGAATCCTGTGCAAGGACTCCTTGTCCAGTATTTTGTCGATTGTTCCTCATAGATTTCTCCAGGTTCGAGAGAGGAGGCCATGGATGTCCCCATTGTGGGCGTGACTAATGGGGACTCTCCTGGCATAGAGGGTTGCTTACTGAAGATCTTGTCCAGAGGAGGAACTAGTGCCCTCCTGCTCCAGATGGCACTGGTCTTTTATCTGTTCTTCCTTCCCTACTTGGTCTGCGTGCCCAGACTTCTATAATGAGTTGACAGGAATTATGGGCTACTAAATAATTTGGATGTTTTTCCTAAACAAGTGTACCCAGAAAATTTTTGTCGTAGATGCTTAAGTGTTGCTCTAATTTGCTGTCTGTCAGCCACCCAAAAGAATCAGAGGAGGTAAGTGGTTTCCTCTCTGGAGATGGGAGAGATGGATCCTTGCCACATAGGGAGAGATTGATGTGCTGAGGATTGTCAGATCAGCTCTAATCTTTTACGAATCCCAAGACACATAATGAAGACAAAGAACAAAGCTCTTGGGGCAAAGGAAGAACCTGTCTGGGGCTCCTTCTGAGTTCAGAATGCCCGGACTTGGGTTGCAAAAGTTATTTCTATTGAAAAAAGAATTGATTAAAAAAATCTATTTATCTTGTAGCTAACAGGGTGTGTGAGAGGGTGGCAGAGAGCTCCATACATGGTCTCTCCTGGTTGCTGGAAGGCCCCTTTACTTTCCCTTATCCATGAAGATATATCAACCAAAGCTGCTTGCTGCTACGTTAAGATACAGGGCATCCAGATGGCCAAATGTTTTCCTTAGACCATCTCCCTTTTATCATTTACTCATCTCCTTCAGGTCATAGCTTAAATGTTTTTTATCTTCTCCTCAGAAAGTCATTTCCTGACCACCCTACCTTCCCCATTATTATTCTCAACGTGAAGCTTTTCCTCTCCTTCAGAGCACTTAACCCAGGGTATAATCATATATTTATATGTTTGACGTTTGCCTTTCCCAGACTCTAAGCTCCACTTGGGCTGTGATAAACACCAGTGTATTACGGGTGTTTGATCAGTATCTGGCACATCATAGGCACTCACTGAATATATATTGAAGAAACAATTGGTTTATTTCCGCTAATGTGGAAGTTTTCTTGTTTTCTCTTGTTTTATTGGGGACCAACTACTTGTGTCTTTATGTTGCATTCAATAATCTTGGTAGCTGTGGATTTTCAGCCCAGAGCTAAGAAAATAAAGGGGTGTGAGAAATGAGTTTAGTCTGTAATTGTCCAATGAAAGATCAAATCTTGGAATGAGACTTTCTGTGACAAATTCATTCATTTAATCTTTCAGCAAATGTTTATTGATCAAATACTATATTACTTGCACTGTAAAAGTGCAAGGGATACAGAACGAATAATATGGATATGGTCTTTGTCCTAATAGAGCAGATAGAAAAAAGTCAACAAAGAGAGCATAAGCAGGATGGTGTGCTGGAGTGTAAGTGGGGGGAAACTACATAGGGAGGGGGCTGAAAAAGTCTGCTCTATACCAAGGCCTGGGGATCGAGAATGCACCAGCCATATAAAACAAGCACAAGGGGCTAAGGGAACAACAAGTGCAAGAGGCCGGAGATGGGGATGAGCTTAGCATGTTGGAGGGACAAAAAGGAGACAGGGATGCAAAAGTAGAGTAAACAAGGGGGGAACGTGGATTGAGATAAGATCAATCAATTGAGGAACAAAGTTTAGAGTTTATTATAAGAGCAAACAGGAAGCCACTGCAAGATTTTAAAGAGAGAAGTGACATAATTTGGTTTATATTTTAGAAAGAGTGGAGATTGGATTAGAAAAGGGCAAGATAGGGGCGCCTGGGTGGCGCAGTCGGTTAAGCGTCCGACTTCAGCCAGGTCACGATCTCGCGGTCCGTGAGTTCGAGCCCCGCGTCAGGCTCTGGGCTGATGGCTCAGAGCCTGGAGCCTGTTTCCGATTCTGTGTCTCCCTCTCTCTGACCCTCCCCCGTTCATGCTCTGTCTCTCTCTGTCCCAAAAATAAATAACCGTTGAAAAAAAAAATTTAAAAAAAAAAAAGAAAAGGGCAAGATAGATCCAAAGAGACAAGTGAGTCTATTGCAGTAGTCAAATCAGAGAGGGGGGGTTAACCTTGGGTGATGGCAGTGGGAATGAAGAGAAGTGGACACTTGAGATTTATTTAGAGGTAGAATTGACAGGTCTCAGTGATGGAGTGAATGCAGAGGATGAGGGAGAGGGAGAAATTGAGGATGACTCTACTATGACAAATGGCCTTTTCCTTGAAGTCGTGCATCTTTTCAATTTGCTACTGACTTGACCCACCCTGATTTCCATCATCGTAAACCATTAAGGCTTTCACTGTTTCCTCCTTGACATCACTTAGGCTCCATATTTAGCATCTTAATTCAATAAGGTACAATCTGTAAGGCTCATATCTTGATCTTCACAGCTCATTGAACCTCTTTAAATGGTCTACAACACACATGAATTAAACATGGTGGACAAAGTGAGAGACACTCTAAGTGGCAGTCATCCCCTCTCTCTTAGCCAAAAGTTCTGAGCACAATCCAGGTGGGGCTTTGACTGAAGGTAATGCTGATGGTTACTGCCTCAGCAGGTGTTCTCAGGAAAGTTGGAGAAAGTCAAGTGTCTCAAAGAGAAAAGCATATGGGGAAATGAAGGAGAGAGAGACACAAAGTCTGAAATACCAGGGACTGACAGTCAAGCACCTTTACCATCCTGAAAAACTGAGCTAGATGAGGTGACCAGTGTTTCATTAAGCCTGGCAGTATAAGTGTAGACACAGAGCCAAAGAGGAAGGGAACGTTGGAGCTGGGTGGGAGAAATGAGGCTGGTAATGGGAATGACAGTGGCTCCATTTACTGCAGTCTTACTATTTGCCATGCAGTGTGCTAAGCCCTTCAGGCAATTTGTACTATTTGATCCTCACAAAACCCCTGTAAGGATGATCTCCATTTTACAGATGAGAAAACATAGGCTCAAAGAAGTTTAGGTAACTTGCTCACAAATAACAAAATAACTGATAGAACAAGGATTTAAACCCAGATTAGTGTGACTGCAAAGCCTGTGTATACTCCGTTGCCTCCTTTAAACAGAGAGAGACTAGAGGGAAAGTGGAGGATGGGTAGACGGAGAGAGGGAGAAAGAGCCTAGGAGAACAAATGTACTTGATCTTGCAAGAAAGTAGTTGACGAAAACGAAGGAGAATCTAACCCGAAGGAAAAAAAAAAGTAGATTAGTATACGACATGAGAGTGGATCAAATCTTATGAAGTTTCTAGAGATGGATACGGTGTGTTGTTAGCAGCCGCCCACTACATTTCCCTGCTGGCTGTGGGCTCATAACTTCTGCCTTTATTGCTGTTTCTGCTCCCAGACATGAACTCTCTACCTTGAGATGAGCCAATAGTCCCTGAATCCTCTGGACCAGATCAAAGCCCACCCAGGGAATGGAGAGGCTGGGGGGGAGAGAGCTGTGTGAACCTTGATTCCCGAGTGAAGAAAATTCATGCTAGATGAAAGACCCCAAAGGAGAAGAGCTATCCTGTAATTAGGTGAGATTTATAACTTGGCACCGAAACTGCTCATTTAGATATTCATTTTCCCTGCTCTTGCTCCACGTTTTCAAAGAAATTCCACTAGCATCCTTGTGGCTCCTGGATCCCGGAGGACATTCCAGGAAAAGGTTGTTTTGCTATTCAGAGAAAGAGGACCGGAATAATTGAAGGCTCATATCTTCTGCCTCTGTGTCCTGGATGCACTGCACTCAGTCTGTTACCAAGTGTTTATTGAGACCCAACTAGATGACAATTTGTTGATTAGTCAATTGTACAATCATTAGTACAATTGATATTGATGCACCACATCCTGTACTAGATAGCAGAGCTACACAAGTGAAACTGACAGATACAGACCCTGTCCTCATAAAGCTTACAGAGTACTGAAGTAGATAGATACTGAATAAGAAATAAGAACTTGTAAGTGCACTTGTAGTACAGGAGACACATAAGTATTCTGACATTCTGTCATCACACCTCAGTTCGTGCCTTTAAGTAGCCCTTTGACCCTGGATAAGTAATTTCTCATCATAGTGAGCCTTAGTTTCTTCATCTGCAAAATGACGACCATTCACTCTTGCAATACATGTTTATTGGAGAGTTCTAGAATTGCTTGAGCTAGACTGACAAGAGAAGGCCTTGCTGGAGATGGTGTTTAAGCTGAGACCTGACCGATGTGAAGGCATCAGCGGTGTGGAGGTTGGCAGTGGGAGGAGGTATTTCAGAAAAAGGGAATGTGCTTGCAAAGCCCATGAGGTGGAAATGAGCACAACCCTGTCCTCCACTACTCACAGGCAGAGTACTATGAATTGCTGATACAAGAGTAATTTATTGGTTTTTTTGTCCTCAAAGTTTTTAGGTATGGTTATTATTCTGAATCACAGTCCCCACCTCAATGAGCTTCCTTTATAACTATGGAGGAAAAAGCTAGAATCTTTAGAAAATATAAGATGATGGTTAACAAAGTGCTAAGTGGTGAGTTGGCACTCAGAATGTGCTGTGGAAGGTTGGAGGTAAGGAGGTCGGTGTAGGAAGGGATAGGTACATCCTCTTTGTCATGGGGGTTAGATGTGTAAATGGTGACTGTGTTCTGGGCTAGACATGCACCGAATGGTGGAAAACACAGGTGCTGCACTTGAACCTGCAGTTCCACCTTCCTCTGTTGCTAAACCTACCCTTGGAGAGAAAAGGCTATGTTGTTGCAATGGTTTGATCTCTCTGTGGAGCCACTGGCCTTGGGAAGAGCCCTTGTGGGGTGTGGGAAAACAGAGACTGGATCCAGAGAGAAATATGACGGAGAAAGAGAAGAATTGAGGGGCCAAAGAAGTATCCCCAAATAAATAGCAGTTGGCTCAATTGGCTAGATCCTTGGACTTTAGAACCCAAGCTCTTTCCTGCCTCCTGCCTTCTCCAAAGCTCTCAGGCTATAGATAACGTGGTTCATGGACTTGGCTGTTTAGTTATGGCTTCATTTCAACTCCAAGATTGGATTTTTTGCTGTAACCTATGTTGGAGACCATATGGGCATTTCAAGCATCCCATGCCCGTAAACCAATAAATACAAATGAAAACAAATCAACTCAAAACAATGTTCTCTCTGTCTCTTGCAGGCTGAGCCCTGGTGACAACAGCTGCAGAGGAGATGAGGAGCCCCCATGCTGTTGCCTGGCTAGCTGTCCCCAAGCTCCTCACCCAGTGGCATACTTTAATTACACTGGTACTTTTTTTGAAGGGGTATCTGCCACCCAAGTGGCCTTCTCATTTCTGGAAGGAGGCCAGAAAGCTTCAGTCTTTGCTGCCATATCAGGACTTGAGTTTATCTCAAGAGTGTTGTGGAGAGTTGCCCTGCCAGCAGCATGTGGCTCAATTGCCCGGGGAGGAAGTAGCAGACCCTTCCTATGTTCAGTAAAACAGGTCTCTGTTTCGGGTGCAGTGGCCTTGTCGTTGGTGAGTGTTATGGTGCAGGGAAGGGGGAAGGGAAAGGTTTGGGTTTAATGAATAGACTGTTCTCAGTAGAGAAAATATCAATTCACAAATGAGCCAAGGTACGAAGGAAACTTCCTGACATAAATTAGACATATAAGCAGACAATTCAGGAAAGAGTGGAATCAGCTTTCTGTGAAACTCTAATTGGAGAACTATTTATTTATTGATGTTATTGCCTGGATTCAAAGAGATGAACAAAATGACTTCTAAATTAACCCACACATACTCATTGAGCACCTAGTGTTTACCAAGTATTCTTCATCCTAAGTCTCTTTTCCTTAGAGCTATGCTGTTCCTCTAGAGCATAATCAGCAAACTATGGCTGTTGGGCCGAATCCAGCCATGTGTTTGGTTAATAAAGTTTTATTGGAACACAGTCATGTCCATTCACGTAGCTATTGTTTGTGCCTGTTTTCACACTGCACTGGCAGAATTCAGTAGCATGACAGAGACCGCATGGCCTGCAGAGCTGAAAATAATTATGATTTTGCCTTTTACAGAAAAATTTGCCATCTTTGCTCTTAAGTTTTGTGTTCTGGAAAAGAATTTCACAATGAGGTGATAGCTGGGAAGAGGTTGCTGGATGGGACATTGGTGTAGTAGTTCAGCACATACACCCTGGAATCTAACAGACCTGGGTTCAAAGCCCAGCTCTGCCAGTTATTAGCTGTGGCTTTGGGACATGAATCTCAGATTCCACATTTGTGAAATGACTCTGACAATTGTACTTACCTCCTAGGATGGTTATGAGGACTGGAGTGATTAATGTAAGCACTGCCTAATGCAAAATAAATGCTCCACAGAGAGAAGCTGTTCTTTTTATTATTAACTAATCCTATGTTCCAGGCAGTAGGCTAAACACGTCATGTATGTTGGTTAATCCTTGCACCTTTCCTATGAGGTAGGTATTTTTATTTCTACTTTACAGGGAGGGATCTGTAGCACAGAATGTTGCTTTGGGTACAGGACTCATGGGTGGCAAAGTAGTCAGTGGGAACCTACATCCTGTGGATCCTGCAGGAAGCAAAATGGTGAAGTAGCTATGGGCACCAGCAGAGGCTAGGGAGAGCCAAACCACCCTTCAACTTTTGCCAGCACAAGTCCCAGCTCCAGGAGGAAACTGTGAACACATTTCCTGAGTTGGTGCAGAGGTGTCTCTCAGAGGGTGAGGGCAGAGTGCACCCCCCGGCCTGTGGAGGAAATAGGCCTCTGGGTAGTTTCATTTTTAGAAATGGAGCATCCATGGCCAGAGTCCTGGGAACCTTTGTGTCGGGGAGTTGACAAGGTCTGCTTTGGGACATGGGATGGAATTGCATGGTTTCCTCCGTTTCCTGTTGCCCTCACCTTTAATTTCTACCCACAGTTCTTGATGTCATCCTGGGACTGGACAGAAAGTACCTTGGTTGGGAAGGGTAGGTTACAGCTGAGAAGAGGGTGGTGTCTAACAGTCACGATGGAATGACAGCCAGGGAGAGGAGGGTGGTGAAGCTACCAGGTGGTATCTTGAGGCTAAATCATACATATTTTAAGGCAAAATCCAGAAGCTTTATCCAGTTACCTGGGTCTATTGATGTCACTTGGACTGGATCAATATATCTTCCTGGAGAATTCAGAGGAGAAAAATCTATGTGGGGCCTGCTCTGTAGGGAGAGCACGTTGGTGCCACAGAGACAGCTCTGTGATGAGAATATTAAGCACTCATGAACTGATATTCATACCATCTCCCAGGCTGGAGCTTGTCCCGACCCTCCAGATGGGGTAAGTGGTATGGATGGAGAGTGAACAAGCAGGAGGCTGTCATACATTCACACACAAAAGGATCGAGCATTTATTGAATTCCTATGGTGTGCCAGGCTGCACGCTGGGCACTAGAGTTTCAACACTAACGGGACACCACGACTGTCCTTCAGGGACAAGCTCTGGGTTTGCTTTGCCTATGGAGTGGGCTCTGAAGGAGACCCCAGGTGCCATGGACACTGCATAGCAGAGGTGTGGAGCTCACTCCTTCACCAGCTGCCTCGGTGATGCTTTGTTGGAGGATGCTAGAGACAGGTTGCTTCTCCAAAACCAGTCCCCCACCCATTCCTGGGGTACACACAATGACCATTCCTGAAGCCTGAGTCACCTGGGTTGTTTAGCCTCACATTATTTTCTTGTCTCTTTGTTCCTCATCTCCTGTTTTGTTTTCTCATCCACAAGTGGGAGGGCTTCATTAAGCTAATTAAAAAGGCACCAGGGAGAAAGCATGACAGAAAACCACTTTGGTTTTCCTGAGTGACACAGAGGGAGCATCATCTCTGCTTTCCTTTCCCACAGTCTGAGCTGCCTCTTCTCCTGTGACTGTGAGGTAGAGGTTGGGGGTGGTAGGAGAGGCAGCAGCAAAGACAGGGGGCAAGATGGAGACCCTCTCAAGTAGCTGAGCTAAAGCCCAGGCTGCCCGGCCCTCAGGCAGTCTCCACATCCCTGCTCATCCTCCTCCTCATTCTTCCAATGACATCATATTCTACTAAACCACCAAACTTACAGTCTCAATTGCTGGTGTGTGTTGGGAGAAGCATGCTCATAGAGAGCTGTTGCTTCAGGACCTTTCTAAAAGAGAATGGCACATATTCCTTGTCAATATGGGGTACACCTGGGCATCGGGATAGGATAGAATTTCTTCTATCGAATTCAAATCCATTTTGCTGTTGCCCAAAGCCACAGATCTCTTGGAGGGGGAGAATGGAACAGATACTTGGTATTGTGATAATTGATCTTACTTGGAAACAACTCAGGAGGGCGTCTCCAGCCTGAGAATTTGCTCCATTCCTGATATGACATAGATTTTGTCTCACAGTAGTTTGTGGTTTATTACACAACCCTGTATAAATGCAGACCTTCTGTCTTGGATCCTGTGTTCTTGTCCTGGGACAGATGGTGGCAAGGAGAATGTGAGCTCAGGGCTGACATGGACACTGCATCCCGCCTCTTCAGTGGCTGAGGACACCCATGTATTTTCTTTCTCTCCAGCCTGAGGCTCCTCCTGGGAGAGAATGACCACTCCTTGACTTCCAAGATTTCCCTTCCACGTGCCCTTAAGGCACCAACTACCCAGTGTCTGGCCCTTGAGGGAGGCAGTTTCTGGAGTGCCTCTCCACCCAGGGAGGAGTCCACACCTTCTCCAGGCCTATGCAAGGCAGACTGCCAGAGAAGAACTGTTCCCAGCATGACAGACTGATTAGTTAAAGTCTGGCAAGTCCAAGGCTCAAAATCCTCAGCTTCTCTTGGTGGCCGAGAGAGAGAGAGAGAGAGAGAGAGAGAGAGAGAGAGAGAGAACAGATCCAAACTATAAATTGCTTTGTGCTATTTTTTTAAAAGTTTAGTTATTTGGGGCGCCTGGGTGGCTCAGTCGGTTGGGTGTCCGACTTCAGCTCAGGTCATGATCTCACAGTCTGTGAGTTCAAGCCCCGCGTCAGGCTCTGCACTGATAGCTCAGAGCCTGGAGCCTGCTTCGGATTCTGTCTCCCTCTCTCTCTGCCCCTCCCCAGCTCGCACTCTGTCACTCTCTCAAAAATAAAATAAAATAAAATTTAAAAAAAAAGTTTAGTTATTTATTTTAAGAGAGAATGTGCATGAGCAAGCACATGCAAGCGGGGAGGGGCAGAGAGAGAGACAGAGAGAGAGAATCCCAAGCAGGCTCTGTGCTGTCAGTGCAGAGTCCAACATGGCGCTTCAGAACTTATGAACTGTGAGATCATGACCTAAGCTGAAATCAAGAGTCAGACACTCAACTGACTGAGCCACCCAGATGCCCCAAAGCCTTGCTTTGTGCTCTTTAAAGCAAGGTACGCAGACATTGGGCACTATGCTGTAATTCTTTTTCAACATTTTATTATGTAAAATTCTAAACATACTTTAAAATTGAAAGAATTTTACAGTGAACACCCATGTATTGACTACCCAGGTTCTATCATTCACACTGTACTGTACTTATTCCATCTATCTTCAGTTCCTCCGTTCTTCTAGCCACCCATCAAACCATCTCAGCCTCCACCCCAGACCCCAGACCAAATGAATCAGAGACTCCAGATGTGGGCCCAACAATCTGCATTGTAACATACCTGGTGATTCTGATGCTTGCTCAAATTTAAGAACCACTCAAACTTTTTGATGCATTTCAAAATAAATTGGAGATATTGGTACACTTCCCCTTAAATATTTTATGCAATAAATATTTATCGAGCACTTACCAGGTACAAGGCACTATTCTTAATGCTAGGGAAATAGTCTTTCACAGCCTGATAGATAACTGTCATTAAGTTGAGAGAGACAGAAAGAGAAAGGGGGGCACCTGGCTGGCTCAGTTGGGTTGTGAGTTAAAACTCCATGCTGGGCATGGAGTCTACTTAGCAAGAATAAATATATAAATATTAAAAAAACCCAAACCACAAAAAAGATGTTGACAGAAGGGGGGAGGGAAGAAGGAAGGGACGGAAGGGGAGAGAGGCATGTGAGCAGGAAGGTAAGTAAGCAAAGCAGAGTTGAAAACTCTTTCATGTGATTATTGGCACATGTAAGTGACTAGCAACTGACCAGAAGCAAGTAGAAAAGAAGCCTGTTAAGTCTTTGAGGGACTTGTACCATTAAAGGATTTCACAGTGTTTGCCCAGTAGGATATAGGAATTTGTTGCAGATGGGACTGAATCACTGGGACTGATTACTACAGTTACATTGTGCTTTTTCTATCATGGTATATGGCACGGAGGCTGCTCTCCAGGGTCCTGAAGCCAGAGCCCATCAGTCTCTGCCAAAGACTGACCCAGCACAAAGCAACCCTAACTACTGGGTAGACATTTGGGGCTCCCAGGCAAAATTTTGGAAATGACCTTTTTGGGCTTTCTAAAAAAGAAATGGCTCTCCATATTTCATCAACACAAAGAGGGAAAAGGAAAGAGAGAGGGAATGAGAGAGTGAGAGCCCAAAAGTGAGTTTCATCATGCCTATTTGTGGCTCCACACTGAGTCAAGCAAATAATTAGACTTAAGTAAATAGAATTATCTGAGTCAACGAGTAGTGTTGCTATAAACTTGAAGGGTTTAGGTGAATTTGTTTAGGTACATAACTGACACTTTGTGACATTTTAGAACAGTGATTCTTAAAATGTGGTCTCTGGATTAACAGCATCAACATCACCTGGGAACCAGTTACAAATGCAAATTCTCAGCCCTTCCCTAGACCAATTGAATCAGAAACTCCAGAAGTGGGCCCCAAAATCTGGGTTTTAAACCCTCCAGATAATTTTAGTGCTTGCTAAAATTTCAGAACCTCTGCATCTAGCAAAATGGTTCTCAATATTGGCTGCACATTAGAATCACCTGGAGCTTTGTAAAACCTGAGGCTCGGTCCAACCCCCACCTCCAAAATGGAATTAGAGTTAGTGGGAATGATTTTCAGGCTTTGTTGTGTTTTAAAATTTCCACAGGTGATTTTAATCTATAGCTGGTGTTGAATCACTGCCTTAACAGTTTAGAGAACACATAGAAATATACAGTGAGTCAATTGGGAATGACAACTCCCAACACCATGGCTTCTAGCTATTAGCCTTGGGCTTCTGGGCCCTGAAGCCTTTCTGGGGTTCCTTGAAGACGGACTAAGTCATCCTGGCCACATAAAGACATCTCACTGATATGAAGTAGGAGGATACTAGAACATTCGCATAAAATTGACGTAAGTGGAATTTTGCCACCATTGATTATAAGGCCCAATTTGTGGCATTGTTTAGAATGACACCATCATATTACAGCTCTTTGATGAGGTCATCACATTTTGATTAGTCTCTGGTTTCCCACCCTGTCCCCCTTGATTCCCTAATCCTGGGTCGACAGGGAGGCACAGTCTTGTGGAGTAGAAGTCATGACAACAAAAGATGTAGAAACTTTTCTAAGCCATCTTAAGGAGTGAGAATGGGGAGGTCTCAATACATTACCTCTCTACGTCTATTAGAGACAGTGGGACAGGCTGAAAAGAAAAAAAAGATAACATGTACAGCAGTGGTTTGTAAACTGTAAAGTATTACAGAAATTAAAGGCAGTATTATAATGCTTTTCTTCTTAAAATAATAATTATGCAGGTGGGCATCATTGCAGTGTGGTCTGATTCTAGAGGGATCTAAATGCTGTACATCGAATGAAGCATCTTAGCAGTATTGCTGCTAAGTTAGAGTTTTGGGGAAATGCGGACTCCATTGAAGGTTTAATATGTGAGACCAGCCAGGGCTTAATCTCCTAGTCCCTCCTCTGAGTTTTATAAAATGACTCAGATCTGAGGTCCTGTAAGATCCTATCAGACTGCATCTGTTTTTAAGGACATCATAAAATGGTACTTTAGAAGGAATTAGGACAGGTTGGGGGCATTTTGGGGGCAATACAGCTAAAATGCCTTTCATCTGTCTCATTTGTTTTTCCCTTAAGTCTCAGAGACACTTTTAATCAATGTTTTAGAAACTGGATGTCATTTAAAGAAGTTAAGATTTCAATCATAGCAGGGGCGATGTTGGAAAAAATTTTAAATAAATTCACTTCACTTCCCTTTGAAGAGATGCCAAAATGTATCTCTTCATTCTAGAGCAAAGCTATCTATCTGAGAGACATTGAAAACTCCCTTCCAAAGTTACTTCTAGAGTCTCCGTGCTATCTCTCTGCATTATTTACCATGAAGAGCACCTAAAATAGCATTAGCCTGGCAAATATAGGGCACAGGGAGGGAGCTGGGGTTGGGGAGGTAATTACCCAACCCATTATGGAAGCTGTGCTTGAGTTAGAAAGGGAAGTTGAGCACCTTCTTTAGGCATCATTCAAATTGGAAGGGATTTCAGATCATTTGATGTTGTAGGCTTTGGATCACTCTATGAGAGGTTAGATGTTAGTCTGGCAGTATAATAATTTTCTCTGCAGTACTACAAAATGCAATGGAGAGAGAAGGTGATAGAGGCAGTGTAGCTTGTATCCAAGGTTGGTTCTTGGCATCACTGTGAAAAAAAATTTTTGTCCATGCCATCATTGTCCCTATTCCATGATTTTTGGTCCCTTTTTGTATCTTCTATCCCAGAACCAGGACTAGGATGAGGCAAGCATAGTGCCTAAGGTAAAAACTTTAAGGACACATTCACTCTCATGTTTGTTTAAGTACCAATTCTGCACCTGCGTGAAACTGAAAATGATTTGCTTCCTTATATTTTGAACTCTGGGCAGCATGCTTGCCTCACCCTAGTCCAGGCCCTGTTTTACTCACATAAAAATACCCAGCATTTACATACTAGTCCCCGTATATTTCTTCCCTATCTTACCACCAGGAAAATCATCTGATAAGCTAATTTATGCCAGAGAGTTGGAAGCATACTGAACTACTACTCCCAGGAATATGTGTGTATCCAAAGAGGATTTATGGAAAGGCAATATTTGACCATTTCAGTCTTAATCTATA